GGAGAGAGGACAACATGGTTGAGATCCGAAAGAGCAGAAGAGAAGAGAGCCTGCTCAAGAAGCGTCGGGAGGGCCTTCAAGCACAGCAGTTCCAAAACACCGTGAACGTCTCTCAAATCGAAAAGAAGGTGCATGCATGTGTGTGTAGCTTTTCTTTGTTTGAACTTAAAACCCCAGGGTTTGATCAAATTTAGTTGATTATGTATTTTAATAGTGTATTCCAAGTGTATCATTGGCTTATTTTTCTTTATTTTTGAACTTACCTTCTTTAATTTGTTGCTAGGCTTTTATTTATGGATCGTTGAGTAATAACCGGGGTTTGATTTTACAATTGAATGGAGTATTTGATAGGTCCCGACAAAATTTATTGTTTTTATACCGAACGATAGAGTATTTAGGTTTGAGTTTAGGAAAGTAGTTGCCTAATTGTTTCAAGGAAACCAAAGTTGTCTGTGGAATACGAAAAGAGTCTTGAACATAGTGAGGAAACAAAACAGAGTGATAGAGATATGGAACAAGATCTTAACCGAAGATGGAGAGATGTGGGTGCCGTAAGAACAATTGCGAGCCAAATTCAGACTTCAACTAGGACGCATAAGCAAGCATGGCTTGCATTCTTAATGACGTAGAAGAAATTAATCAGAAGTTGCATCTTGAAAGGGAAAGGATAATTTTAGTTGGTAAAAGGCTATTCACCTTCGAATTGTTTTAAGGGGGACGATCACCCACACCAGAGATCAATCTCTCTCTTATTCTTGTTCTTTTTATCTCTTTAGATATGTTCTATTAGGGATATATCAGCATCATAAATTCATAATATTACAGTTGATTGTTACAGAGTGCTCAAAATAAATAAAAATAATATATGACATGGCGCGTGCTCTTTTGAGTGACTGCAGGCACTTTGCTTTGTGTTGAGGGGGAAATTATGGATTTGTCAGTGATTATAGACTGTTGGTGCTTCTTTGTAAACTAACGTGCATTTAATTTGTTCTATTTGTTAATCTTGTTGCAGCTAGAAAGTCTTCCGGCAATGGTTGCCGGTGTTTGGTCAGATGATAGCAACTTGCAGCTTGAAGTCACCACTCAATTCCGGAAACTGCTATCAATAGGTTTTCTTTGGTTATCTTGCTTAGAAAAATAAATCTAATATGTTTCAACCATTCTGCCTTTTGTTAATTTGTTATTTCATCCCTTTAACAGAGCGCAATCCTCCAATTGAGGAAGTGATACAATCTGGTGTTGTTCCTCGGTTTGTTGAGTTTCTTGCTAGGGATGACTACCCGCAACTTCAGGTTTTAGTTCGAACTTCATATTATCTGTTTTTTTTTTTTGGTTTGGTATCTTTAATATTTTTAACCCTTTTTGCTTTTTAATGCTTGGACTTTGTTTTAGTTTGAGGCAGCTTGGGCGCTCACAAATATTGCATCTGGAACATCTGAAAACACCAAGGTTGTGATTGAGCATGGTGCAGTTGCAATTTTCGTAAGACTTCTTGGTTCTCCAAGTGACGATGTTCGGGAACAGGTACCTATTGTGAAGTTCACAAGTTCATGGATGTTTTTTTTGCATGTCTACTAATATTTTGTGGAGTAATGTGGACATTTTACTTTGGATCTTCAAATGATATATGTTATTTGTGCCATCCTTTTGTTGTGTAGGCTGTTTGGGCATTAGGGAATGTTGCTGGTGACTCACCTAAATGTCGTGATCTTGTCCTTAACTATGGGGCTTTGATGCCATTGCTTGCACAATTCAATGAGCAAGCAAAACTTTCCATGTTAAGAAATGCAACATGGACATTGTCAAATTTTTGTAGAGGCAAGCCACAGCCTCAATTTGAACAGGTTAGAGTACTGAAAGATCCATTGTCCTGGTTTGATTCCTCCTTTGCAATAAATGTATTTCCTGATGGATGTTCGTAAATTGAAATTGTTTTGGAATAATTTTGGAATAATTATTTAAACAGACAAAGCCTGCTCTTCCCGCTCTTGCTCGTCTTATACATTCTAATGATGAAGAAGTCCTCACGGATGCATGCTGGGCGCTGTCATACCTTTCTGATGGAACTAATGACAAAATCCAAGCTGTCATTGAGTCTGGTGTCTGCCCTCGTCTGGTTGAGCTGCTACTGTGAGTGCTGAATATTATTTTTTTATTGTTCATGGCATTTTCCAGAGTCTGATTGTGAAAACTTTTTCTTATCTTCTACTTGGGAAACCTAAAAATTTAATGTTGGTTTTCAGTCATCCGTCACCATCAGTTCTCATTCCTGCTCTGCGCACAGTTGGTAATATTGTTACTGGGGACGATATTCAAACTCAGGTACTCTATGCCATATTCTTTTCATGTCTTCTCTTCCCACTCTCTGTCCATAAATATATATATAGTCCAATATACACAAATACAGTGAAAGCTGACCTCCCCACTTGTAAAAGTGTAATTAACTGCTCTTCTTTCTTAACTGAAAACATTGCCCTCCCATTCTGTCCTTCACAAGGGCATATTTAGTCCACCTTCACAATTTTTTTATTTAAATCTAGTTTGAGGAATAAAACAGGCTGATTCTACCGTTATCTGCCTATGATTTTTGCCTGTTTTCCACTTATCCAGTTTAATTCCCTAACATGGAGATAAGAAATTGTTTCCTATCCTAGAATTGAGTTGGTTGAACTACTATAGATCTGAGAGCCAGAGAATTGAATGGTTTTCAAGAAGTATCGATGAAAGATTATGTGTTTGTATTTTCATGCACGAACATCCATATGCGCGCGCGTGTGTGAGAGAGAGAGAGGTACGAGAAACCATTTGTGGTTTGAAGGGCAAGTTAGGGATGCTTTGACATGGCCAAATAGCTTGTGGGTAGTGTGACAAAGAGGACAGTCAGGATGGGAGGGGGAGGTTTTGAAATTTTGTGATCGCACAAATTGCCAAAACACCTCCACATATCTGCATATTGGTGTGCCTGTTTAAATTTTTTTTTTTTTTTTGATCAAGTGTGCCTGTTTAATTGAATTTTNATGCGCGCGCGTGTGTGTGAGAGAGAGAGAGAGAGAGGTACGAGAAACCATTTGTGGTTTGAAGGGCAAGTTAGGGATGCTTTGACATGGCCAAATAGCTTGTGGGTAGTGTGACAAAGAGGACAGTCAGGATGGGAGGGGGAGGTTTTGAAATTTTGTGATCGCACAAATTGCCAAAACACCTCCACATATCTGCATATTGGTGTGCCTGTTTAAAATTTTTTTTTTTTTTGATCAAGTGTGCCTGTTTAATTGAATTTTATGGATTTATGTAGTGGCCAAAACAGTAGGGGTAAAAGGTTGTTGAGTTGAATTGAATTAATGTTTTAGTTACATTTTGTTTTGACTTGACCCCTTTTTATTTCTGTTTTTGTAATGTTTCCTGTTTTACTGCTTTTGATAAGCAAACATACTTGTATACACTAGTGTACTAAAAGGCGGCTTCTTTCTGGTTGCAACAATTTGCCTTAATGCTGTTTTAGATGTTGAACTTGGCTTCTTGTACCAACATAATGTTTTGGGGGATGTAAACGGTTTAGCTCTCTCTCTCTCTTTTTGTCATTATTTCTCAAGGACTGATGTTGAGGACTTTTGAGGGTAGCCTACCTCTTTCTTTAGGCTTGCTTTGTCTGTCCAAAAGACAAGGCTTAGGCTTGGACATTNCTCTCTCTCTCTCTCTCTCTTTTTGTCATTATTTCTCAAGGACTGATGTTGAGGACTTTTGAGGGTAGCCTACCTCTTTCTTTAGGCTTGCTTTGTCTGTCCAAAAGACAAGGCTTAGGCTTGGACATTGTCAAGTTGAGGCAGCAGATTGAAAGAAATATTTGGAACTTCTACACCGAATTATAAAGGGTTAATTACAAAATGCCCCTCCAAGTTTGGGTCATGTTTCAGTCAACTCCTCTTGGTTTCAACTTCAACAAATTGCCTTGGCACAGTTCAAATTGCCCTGCCTCGAATTTTCTCCTTACCCCTCAGGCAAAACCCCTTTCTTCCCCCACCCCCCAACCCACCCAAACAAANATTTTTCAATTCACTCAAATTGTTAAATTTGGACAGTTAAAAGTGTCGAAAGTTTATCAGTGCAAGGCATGTGATCTTACCACACATTAAAAGGACCAAAATAACCTTGATATTTTTCCTCATGTACAAAAACTCCATACTCATCCACCAACCGGTGCAGTCAACCCCTTTTCCCCTGCCTCGAATTTTCTCCTTACCCCTCAGGCAAAACCCCTTTCTTCCCCCACCCCCCAACCCACCCAAACAAAAAAGAAAACCCAGTGAAAATCATCCCACAAATCAATAACTCCTCCTGATGNTGCCCTGCCTCGAATTTTCTCCTTACCCCTCAGGCAAAACCCCTTTCTTCCCCCACCCCCCAACCCACCCAAACAAAAAAGAAAACCCAGTGAAAATCATCCCACAAATCAATAACTCCTCCTGATGAAACCCACCTCTCTCTCTCTCTCTCTCTCACACACACACACACATACACATGTGCACACATACATCACAACAAAACCACCGTCACAAAGAAACCACCAAAAACGCCACTACTCGCTACACCCGCCCAGAGAAACCACTGCAATCAAATCCACCTACCAACGAAAAACACTCACCCCTTCATAGATTGCAAATTGAAAAGCTCAAAGTGGCATCTCATGCACATATCTACATATTTTTGGGTTGCGAAATTGAGATTGGCACACAAAGTGGGTTGATGGTGGTGACAGTTCTAAGGTGGTAGGGGATTGGGGTGGTGGTTCAGTGGTGCTGCAATTACGGACGAATACTAAAAGAAGAACATTGATTGATGATACATAAATTGGGGCAATAGACAAGGGACTGGAAGATTGTGTTGGTTTTGGATTGTGTGTGCTGGGTTGGGTCGTTGGGTTTGGTTCGTGCTGGATTTTGTGTGTTGGGTTGGGTTGGGTTCACTTGGTGGTGGACGGAAGTGACGCAGGAGATAAAAAAATGGTGTTTGTATTGGGTTATGTGTGCGTGTTTGTTGGGCTGTGTTGCTAGCTTTGATTGGTGCTTGACAAAAGTGGCGTAGGAGATTTGAGTGGATGCTGTGCAGATTATGGGTGGGTTATTGGTGTTTGGTTCGAGTGGGAGAAGTTTATTTATTTTATTATTTGTTTGGAATTGATGGGTATCAGAGAATAAATATTTCAGAGACCTGTCATGGGTAATGTTGTCTATTCAAAAAACTTGAAACCACATGATTTGCACGGGACTGATTTCTGTTACTATTGGCTGTCCAAATTTAACAGTGGGAGTGCATTGAAAAATATTCAAATTTTGAGGGGGCAATTTGTTGAAATTGAAACCAAGAGGAGTTGATTGCAACTTGGCCCAAACTTGGAGGGGGCATTTTGTACTCAACCCAATTATAAAATTGGACAAAAACAAAGGGAGTTTAATATGATTTGAACTCTAACGTTACTATTTAAGTTTCTATCTTATTATCTGGAAATCCAAGCTGTACACCGATTTGATGGTTTTTCTTGGTGTACTTTGTTGGTCACTAATTTGGAAAATGGAATAATTTGTAAATTTGTGAAATAGAACATCAGTTTTAGTACATCTTCAATAGTGTCTACTTTGCATAAGAAGTAGCGTAGTTGCCTTAGTTTTCTTGTCAAGCTAGAAAACAACTGAAAAGGGGGCCACAGGTTGAGTGGTTAAAACGACCCAATAACTTGTGGGCAGCCACTTTAGGCAATTAATGTCAACGTAGGTTTATATCCAATTGACCCCTTTCAGACTCCATTAATTAGGACTAAACTGTGTNAGGGCAGCCACTTTAGGCAATTAATGTCAAAGGTAGGTTTATATCCAATTGACCCCTTTCAGACTCCATTAATTAGGACTAAACTGTGTGTTATTTGACTTAGTTTTACCAAGGTAGAACAATGATCATTGGTTTGGAATCAAGGTAGAACTATGGGCCAGAAAGACCAAGTATAATGCTAGGCTAGCCTCGACTATGCTATTCTTTTTGGACACATGTTCCATGGGTTAAGGCCACGATGTTGTATCTCATTATCTTAGTTCATCTTCCTATTTGCATTTATTTTTCTTTTGTGTCATTTTAAATTACTCCATTCTCCTATGCTTTTTGCAATAGCAGCAGATAATCACCAAAGCTAACACCTATTGTTTGGTGGCATCAGTCTTATTGTTGAGTCATCTTCAGAGATTTCACCATGTCATACTTACCTTCTGTAGCTACCAATGTGATCCTTTTAATACTTCTTCAACATGTCATACTTGTTTCTCGTTATCTTAGTTTCTTGCAGTTTGGCTTTGTTTTTCTTGTGATGCCATCTTAAATTANTGGGCTGTGTTGCTAGCTTTGATTGGTGCTTGACAAAAGTGGCGTAGGAGATTTGAGTGGATGCTGTGCAGATTATGGGTGGGTTATTGGTGTTTGGTTCGAGTGGGAGAAGTTTATTTATTTTATTATTTGTTTGGAATTGATGGGTATCAGAGAATAAATATTTCAGAGACCTGTCATGGGTAATGTTGTCTATTCAAAAAACTTGAAACCACATGATTTGCACGGGACTGATTTCTGTTACTATTGGCTGTCCAAATTTAACAGTGGGAGTGCATTGAAAAATATTCAAATTTTGAGGGGGCAATTTGTTGAAATTGAAACCAAGAGGAGTTGATTGCAACTTGGCCCAAACTTGGAGGGGGCATTTTGTACTCAACCCAATTATAAAATTGGACAAAAACAAAGGGAGTTTAATATGATTTGAACTCTAACGTTACTATTTAAGTTTCTATCTTATTATCTGGAAATCCAAGTTGTACACCGATTTGATGGTTTTTCTTGGTGTACTTTGTTGGTCACTAATTTGGAAAATGGAATAATTTGTAAATTTGTGAAATAGAACATCAGTTTTAGTACATCTTCAATAGTGTCTACTTTGCATAAGAAGTAGCGTAGTTGCCTTAGTTTTCTTGTCAAGCTAGAAAACAACTGAAAAGGGGGCCACAGGTTGAGTGGTTAAAACGACCCAATAACTTGTGGGCAGCCACTTTAGGCAATTAATGTCAACGTAGGTTTATATCCAATTGACCCCTTTCAGACTCCATTAATTAGGACTAAACTGTGTGTTATTTGACTTAGTTTTACCAAGGTAGAACAATGATCATTGGTTTGGAATCAAGGTAGAACTATGGGCCAGAAAGACCAAGTATAATGCTAGGCTAGCCTCGACTATGCTATTCTTTTTGGACACATGTTCCATGGGTTAAGGCCACGATGTTGTATCTCATTATCTTAGTTCATCTTCCTATTTGCATTTATTTTTCTTTTGTGTCATTTTAAATTACTCCATTCTCCTATGCTTTTTGCAATAGCAGCAGATAATCACCAAAGCTAACACCTATTGTTTGGTGGCATCAGTCTTATTGTTGAGTCATCTTCAGAGATTTCACCATGTCATACTTACCTTCTGTAGCTACCAATGTGATCCTTTTAATACTTCTTCAACATGTCATACTTGTTTCTCGTTATCTTAGTTTCTTGCAGTTTGGCTTTGTTTTTCTTGTGATGCCATCTTAAATTATTTCCTGCACCCATCCTTTTGGCGGTAGCAATGGATATTCACCTAATCTAAGTACCTAATAGCCGGTGTTTGGTGGCATCAGTCCAATTGTTGATTTATCATCTTCATTTATTTCAACATGTCATACTTGCCGTCAGTAGAAACCAATCTGGTGCTTTGAATACTTTTTCAGGTTATCATAGACCATCAAGCTCTTCCTTGCATTCTGAACCTGTTGGCACACAATTATAAGAAAAGCATCAAGAAGGAAGCTTGTTGGACCATCTCAAACATTACTGCAGGAAATAGGGATCAGATCCAGGTGAGAATGTCTAAGGCATAGTGCCTAATGCTACAAGATATCCGAGTTTGTACATTGTTCTATAATGACCCTAAAGCATGTCTGTTAAAATGTGCAGACTGTAATCGAAGCTGGTATCATTGGCCCTCTTGTCCAACTCCTTCAGAGTGCTGAGTTTGAGATCAAGAAAGAGGCTGCTTGGGCAATTTCAAATGCCACATCTGGTGGAACACATGAGCAAATCAAGTACAGTTTCCTTTTTTAACAACTTACTTCTGTTGATTTAGTTTTTTGTTACATATTGAATTGGAGGTTGGATTCCCTTACTGGCTTGTAGGTTCTTGGTGAGCCAGGGGTGTATAAAGCCACTCTGTGATCTCCTAATTTGTCCTGACCCAAGAATAGTCACTGTCTGCTTGGAAGGGCTTGAGAACATTCTAAAGGTTGGGGAAGCTGAGAAAAATTTGGGTAGCACTGGTGATGTAAATGTCTATGCACAGTTGATTGATGAAGCCGAGGGTTTAGAGAAAATTGAGAACCTTCAGAGTCATGACAACAATGAAATATATGAGAAGGCTGTGAAGATTCTCGAGACATATTGGTTGGAGGAGGATGATGAGCAGTTGCCACCAGGTGATGCGTCTCAATCTGGATTCCAGTTTGGAGGAAATGATGTTCCAGTTCCATCTGGTGGATTCAATTTCGGTTGAATTCCAGAACTCGTAGAAATGTGATTATTTATCAGGTAATGGTGCTTTTTGCAACACTTGCCTTCTGCATAGTCTTTACCTAAGGATTGGTGATGAAGTGGTTACCTGATTTAAGAACTTCAATAGGTTATTGTTATTATTATTAATTTATTATTATTATTTTTTTTTTTTGGGGGGTGGGGGGGAGGGGGTGGGAGTTTGACCGTTATTTGATTTGATCTATATGCGATATCTTTAACCTCTTTACTCGCTGACCTGCATAACATTTCAATTAACATGTGCCATGAAGCACCAGCCTTCTGCATCTTTATTTAGGTGAATTGGATATGGAAACTGGTTGCATTTACAGTTGTCTCCTGAGCAGTCCATTAAAATCTGGTCCAGATTTTGGGCCCGATAGGTTATTTGTAATAAATTATAGTATCTCGTAATAAGCAATTGCACTCACTGGGGATTCAAAATTTGCAGGCTGATCTGTTCTTATTGGAATCATATCACTGTCCAATCCTTTCGGGTCAGGTAGGTGGGGCGTCTTCAGGTCTTGTTTAATCCAGATTTTGGACCAAGCGAGGAGATGCAACTACAATAGGTGTGATCATCTACAGTGCCTGAATATAAGTGGTTTGAGTGGTACTTTTGGAATCCTTACAGGTGGAATTGCATGAACGATATGAGTCCTTTTCTTTGTCCCTCTATGTTGGTCCTTTAATTCCCTCCCCCCCTCCCCCACAAAAAAAAAACAAAAAAAAAACCACAAAAACCCTCTTCCCTCCCTTGTCCCTGTTATTTTTCCCTATTTCCCTGTATTGTTCTCATTGTGTCATAGTCATGGAGTTCAAATATGCCTACTGTAGAATATGCTTATCCATATGCCAACTGTAGAATATGCTTATCTCTTGCCTTGCTCTTGCTTATAGCTAGGACTTGGGAGCAATGAGGGTAAAAATATTTATTATCTTGTGAAGTCCCAAGGGTGATGGTCGGGGTTTTCATTAATTAGTGTCCGTGGGTTGAAAGGCCTCGCATACTTGGGAACTTTATTATACTTTGGGAAATAAAAGATTGTGCTTGTTTAGTTGTAATTTTGAAAAACCTCAGTTGCCTGAGGGAGAAAGTTGGTACTATTTCATAAGTTCTAAAAGAGTTTGTACCACCTTGAAGATTTAAACTTGTTTTGTGTGTGCCGAGTGTGCGTTTTGTTTTGAGAATATAAATGCCTTGTATCAAAATTTTTGGTTTGATATCGATTTTTTCCCAGTACCGTAGTGTTAACCACTGGAAAGAGGCTTATTTCGTTCATATGTGGGATCTCTATGGAGGAAAGATAACACTACAAAGAGGCTTATTTCTTTCATGTATGGGATTTCATATTATCGAGGAAAACATCTAGAAAGTTAACTGAACAAAGTAATGCTACGGGCACTGAATCGGCAAGGGGATTGGGTCAATGGTTCAACCGTTTGGTTAACTGGTCGGATCGGTCATAAAATAAAAAAATATATATAATAATTATAAAATTTAATAATTTAGCTAAAAAATATANTAGGTGGGGCGTCTTCAGGTCTTGTTTAATCCAGATTTTGGACCAAGCGAGGAGATGCAACTACAATAGGTGTGATCATCTACAGTGCCTGAATATAAGTGGTTTGAGTGGTACTTTTGGAATCCTTACAGGTGGAATTGCATGAACGATATGAGTCCTTTTCTTTGTCCCTCTATGTTGGTCCTTTAATTCCCTCCCCCCCTCCCCCACAAAAAAAAAACAAAAAAAAAACCACAAAAACCCTCTTCCCTCCCTTGTCCCTGTTATTTTTCCCTATTTCCCTGTATTGTTCTCATTGTGTCATAGTCATGGAGTTCAAATATGCCTACTGTAGAATATGCTTATCCATATGCCAACTGTAGAATATGCTTATCTCGTGCCTTGCTCTTGCTTATAGCTAGGACTTGGGAGCAATGAGGGTAAAAATATTTATTATCTTGTGAAGTCCCAAGGGTGATGGTCGGGGTTTTCATTAATTAGTGTCCGTGGGTTGAAAGGCCTCGCATACTTGGGAACTTTATTATACTTTGGGAAATAAAAGATTGTGCTTGTTTAGTTGTAATTTTGAAAAACCTCAGTTGCCTGAGGGAGAAAGTTGGTACTATTTCATAAGTTCTAAAAGAGTTTGTACCACCTTGAAGATTTAAACTTGTTTTGTGTGTGCCGAGTGTGCGTTTTGTTTTGAGAATATAAATGCCTTGTATCAAAATTTTTGGTTTGATATCGATTTTTTCCCAGTACCGTAGTGTTAACCACTGGAAAGAGGCTTATTTCGTTCATATGTGGGATCTCTATGGAGGAAAGATAACACTACAAAGAGGCTTATTTCTTTCATGTATGGGATTTCATATTATCGAGGAAAACATCTAGAAAGTTAACTGAACAAAGTAATGCTACGGGCACTGAATCGGCAAGGGGATTGGGTCAATGGTTCAACCGTTTGGTTAACTGGTCGGATCGGTCATAAAATAAAAAAATATATATAATAATTATAAAATTTAATAATTTAGCTAAAAAATATAAAATATGTATAAAATACATAAAATTTGTCATAAAATTAATGAAATTAAGTAACAAAGTGGGATTATCGTATTTTAATGCAAAGTAAAGAGGTGCAAGTAAATTATAAAGAAAAAGAAAGGGTGTCATTTATAATTTATCTAAGAATAAGGTTACAAAAAATTAACTATTTACTGATTTAGAGCAAAAAAATTTATTTATGTAATTTAATTTTTAAATAGGTATTAAACTGTCTGATTTTTATAAAATCGGCGGTTCACGATTTTTGTTAAAAATTGGCCGCTTCCTTAAGCGGTTCAACTAAGGAATCGGACCGGTTAGGGTTCCGATTCACGGTTGAACCGGTCTGACCGGCCAGTCCGATTTTGATAACAGTGAAACAAAGAATAAGCAAACCCAGTAGTTATCTGGGTAAGAATCCCAGATAAAAAATACTTATCCTTATCATAATGTATGTTTTATGTGGATAAATTTTTGTTTTTTTTAGTTTAATGGTCAAGATTATTTGGGTCAGTTAATGCGTATTTAATTTAATAATCTCCGATTAAAGATAGACTATTTATGTTGGAATTAGTTTAATCATGAGGAATTTTTCATGATCTGATTTTAAATAATTATTAAGATTCAAATTCAAGACGTCTGAGTTAATAATTTTGCACAGTTATCTCTTGAATTACCTTTTGGGATTACGTGGTTAAGTTTTCTTGAATTACCTTTTGGGATTAAGTTTTCACTGCTTGAAGTTTGGACCAGATTACTGGTGGGTGTTGGTTGAAAGTGTCCAATTTTTGGGTGGTTTTTTATGTGGCGTTTCAAGACAAGAATTATGTGAGATTTTCTGTCGCTTCATACCAGCCAATCTAAATGGGTCGGATTTGTCTTTTGCTGCAACTTTATTTCTTTATATTCTTTCTTAGTTGTGTCTAACAGCTTCTCCAGATTCTAGTTCTTTCTCGGGGTTTCTCTATACCACCGTCACTAAACTCTTCAACCTTCCAATTTGCATATGCTCTGTGACCTGTCTTTCTTTGTCTTTTCACCACTATTATAATCTTGCTTTCTTGGAATTTTTATGGAACAACATTGGCAATTCTTCCAATATGTTTCCTTTTGAAATAATGCGGCAATCTATACCTATGTTGAAATAGCTCATTGGTAAAAAAAAAAATTGTTTCCTTTCTAGGCATGTTAACATTGAATTTTGGCACACTTGCAACCCACATGATGTAATAAAAACCATCCAATTTGGATTGTAGGAATAAGAGATTGACAATGAAATTGCATTACTAGGGACAAATTCCAAGAATCGAGATGGTTTGCTCTTTTGACGAATTGGTGTTAGGTCGGGTTGAGATGGGGATTGTTGATCTCGAGTTTGGCGGTGATAGATTGGTGTGTGATGCGTAGGCGATTGGGAAGGAAGTTGGGGGATTATGTGATTTTGATTTAGGTGTCAAAAGTTTTGTTTGAAGGGATGGTTTGGGCCGGTGCAAGGGACATGTATGTAGGATTTCTTTTTCCTCTTCCCATTCTGATTTCTGTAGGTTTTTCAGTAACAAGGAGATATGCGAGAATTTTTATCCGTATCTTACTATTGTTTTATAATTGTCTGCTCATAGTATGATTGAATTGTCTGATTATAGCCTGACGTGCTGCTTTAATGGCTTGATATGAAAGACGATCAGCTCTACAACTTTAAGTTTCATATCTTCCAAAACAAGTTGTGTACTGTTGGTTTTAGTTTCTGTAGGGGGTAGAACCCTCCACTCAGGATTTCGGCTTGACCTGGGTTAACCCACGCGGGCGACTCCCCAGTAGCCTTTACCTCTCTTCGCCAATAGGACCCTTTCCTAAGGCAATCCTACATCGGAAGAGAGTCGTCTTCCCCCCTCGCATATAAGCCCTTGCACTCAAAGGAGGAGGTACCCACTAG